AGATATTGTGAGTGTTGATAACTTTAGATAAATGGATCGCAGCATAGCTCTGTTTCTCTAAATCAGGGGCATTGCAGATGCTGTTGGTGTCAAACTTTTTCTGTGGGAAGATGTACTTTTGTACTGACAAATGACAAGTGGATGCGGCTTTGGTGAAATCGTCACTGAAGATATTTTTTATGATGCCATCACACTGTCACAGCGTATCAATGGCCTTACTATAGAAACACACAGAGTATTTGTAAGTACCTCAGTGGCTTCAGGCATCTTTCAAGCACAAAGGTTCATTTGCATTATAGTTTAACCAAAATTATCATAAGTCAAATTTCTGGTAATATCCCTTAACATACCAAAGAAAGCATCAGAAAGTAGAACCAGGAGGATGGGACAGTCATGGCTTCTTAAAGGTTCACAACATACGACTAAACTAAAGGAGAGGGACTTTTTACAAAATTCAGAAAAGCATAGCAACAGTAGAACTCTGCTTTCTTGATCTGGCTTACAGGATGACGTGTCTGCTGACCTACTCACTAAAGCACTATGGCTATTTAATGAAGGACCACAGTAAAATAAGCAGAACAAAATCAACTGCAACAGATTCAATATAGAAAAAAGTCATAGATTTTCAGAAACACTTAAGTGTTTGGAAACTAACACCTGTAGATAATGCTTAGACAATAGAAGGACTAGACAAACAAGTTTTCTCCTCCTAGTAATTATATGTTATGTGGTCAAAATCAAGATCAAGGAGGGAAAAATAGGTAAGTCTTACAGAGGCAATTTGCAATCATGGTAACCTTCTCAGGGACAGACCATGTGTGCTGTGATGGTCAAGCTCCTGGGGGGCCATAATCAGCCCTTGAAGCTGTAGCCATGCTGGTCCACAGGAGCCTCACATTGCTGATCTGCAGATGTTTTAAAGAGTGCTGTAGTTTTCTAAGTCCTTTATGTGGAAGTATTTAATTCTACTAGATAAAGGATTTTTCAACCTAATGTTTAGGATTTCCCCAAATTATGAGTCCAGAAATGAGCAAATGCCTTAATTACCATAGATAACATTCATGTGACAAATCTGATTATAAGGGAGATACATTAATTTTCACAATTGAAATAATTAAGAGTTGTAGAATAAGACACCTCTGTCTTACTTGGGAAGGAGCATTATTTATATTTAAAAAAAGTGGCATTTAAAGAGGGCTTCTGTCATTGTTTACTAAAAATCTTTTCTACTAGTAAAATAGTTGATTACCTGGCATATTTGTATAGTATTGAAATAAAAGATAATGAAAAAAATTTAAAAAGGAGAGGTAAGTCTTGAGTGCCACAATGGGCATCACATAAGATGTGTCTTGGCATACACATTAACTATGTACTTACATTGATGTTTACTTATGAGTTTTTCTTTTGTTCCCCTTGTCTTGTTCCTGCTATCCAACGTCTTCTCTTCAGACATGTTTGTTAATTTTGTAAGTACCTCCCTTACATTCATCTCCTTTCTAAGAAGCTTTTGTGCCTATGCTTTCTTTCACTGCACTGCAACTTAGACAAGAAAGCATCATGAGCCAAATTTCCACAGGGCAATTGCCTCCACAGGTACAGGAAACATCAACTAAAAGTCATGCATAGAGGTAGTCAGCTCAGGGAATCTCATCTTTATAATGAATGCAGAGACATCTCAAGGTTTTCTCTTAATTTTCCTTACTAAAAACGTTCATGCAAATACAAATACACTGTGACATAAAGTTCTAAAAGATATCATAGGGAAAAACTGCAGTGGGAGATGTCTAGTAGTTGTAAGGAAAGATAAAATTCTGTTCCCCATAGACAAAATTCTGGGACAAGATTGTCTAACGTTTCTTATCCTCAGGCAAAAGTATCTAAAGAGATATGTAACAGATATCCTGTTGGACAAGTTCAACTTTCTTCAACTTCAATTCTTCATACTTATCCATCTATGGTTGCCTTTAGTCCAGAGGATTTTGATTTGAGAATGAACCTCTGGTTGGGTTATACATAAACATTTAGGTATTTTCTCTATCTTTCTTTTTAAGAGTATCATATAGCATATATACTATATATTAAGTCATTTTTAGATAACTCAAATTGTAGACTATCAGTTTCCATAAATGTAATGCTTCAATACTTTAATTTTTGTAATATAAGAATTTATATCTCTAGTTGTATATACATACACATGTATTATGGATAGGTGTGCTTGTCTCTTCTTAGATTAGAAATTTTTATAATCTAAAATTAAGTGAAACAAACGCCTTTGTTCCCCATTGCATAAATTCACGGCTGTCATTAATTCTGTTTCTTTGGCAGTGCCACCTGTAGAACATTAGTATCAGCACACTGTTTATATTATAGTGTTACTTAACTTACCCCATATTGGCAAGAACTGTAATATATACCGTGTTTATCTTAGGCTTTAGAACTGGGTGTGTTTAAAGTTGATTCTAGTAAGCAAACTCCCAATACCAACAAAACAAATGTATTTTTTCCTTTTTAGAGTTATGACAATTTGAACCCATTGAATCATGTTCCCATTAAAGTACCATTTCTTAATCTCAGCAACATCACCCTTTGAACTATATTTTTCTTTCAGAGTTCCCTGGCATCTGAAGATTTTTAAACAGCATCCATGGTTTCTAGCCCTTAGTTGCCACTTGTATGTGCCCCCCCCCCTTATGTGTTTGTTGGTGGGTAGGGGGTACAGAGAGAAAATTGTCTTGTTTTATTTTATTTTGTTTCAACATTAAATCTCTCAGTGATTTCAAACTTGGTAAGTAGACTGGCCAGGCTGGTTAGCCAGGATCAAACATCCACCTGTCTGTTTCCATTAGCAGTAGGATTACCAGCCTCTCCCTTCACAGCATGCTTCCACTGTGCCCTTCCTACTATTTCAAGTAGGGTCTGGTGGTGGGGCATGAGGCAATGAGCCATATTATGACTGTAATGAAAAAGCAAAGAAAGAAGAATAGTGACCCCTCTGTCTTCATTTTTCTCTTTATATTTGAGATTATTATATAATGGCATTGTTTCTACATCGCCTTTCCTCCCTCCAAACACTTCCACATAGCCCTCCTCTCTCTCTCTTTCAAAAATATGCCTTTTAATTATTACTATATGCATATATGTGTATGTATCTACATATGTGTTTCTAAATATAATATGCTCAGACTGTATAATGTAGATAGGTTTTCAGTGTTGACCATTTAGTATTGGATAACTAATTGGTGTCCTTCTAACTAGAGATGACTATTTCTTGCACTCTCAGAATTCACTTGGTATAATGTGTAGATCTTTTTTTATCACAACTGAGGGCATGGTTCTATCCTGATAGCTGTAGAATTTTACATGCACCTCATAGTCAGTTGACTTTTTGTTGACAACATAGGGAAAGGCAGACAATTCACCTAGGAATGGACATGCAGGTTAGAAAACACAGTAGAACCTGGAGGGTCTTGAAAATCAAGGGGAGATGTCACAGAAGTCCAAAATATTCAAAACTGCAAACACAGGAGGCTTTTGTAATGTTTAATGAATAAAAATGTGTTTGCATTTTTCTACTCACATGAGCATAGTTAACGATGTGTGTAATTCAGTTCAGAGTGTCCTGTGAAACAATGAGTATATCCCCAGGTGTAGATATTAGCAAAACAGGTTCTCTGCATAGGGAATTTATGGAACAGCTTTAATATTATTTAGTCTTTAAATTTCAATGTAATTTATATACTATATGTTGTAATTACTCTTTAATTGCTGCCTTCTCCTTTTTTCCCAGCTTCTATTTTTCATATAATTCACCACTCAGATTTGTGCTAACAGAGCTTTTGTATCATCCACTGGAATGTAGGCTATCTAAAAATGGCCATATTACCCTCTCTTCTTTGAAGCCACTAACCATCATATCTCCTCAGTCATGGGTTGGGACCCTTGTCACTTCCACACTCCATGTTTGGCTACTTACTGTCTTGTAGTAAGCACTTTTTATACAAGCAAACACAGCTTGGGTCCAAAAGACAATGTTTTGTTCTGGTGCTCACCATATTCTGTATCTTAAGAGTTTGTCTGTCCCCCTCTTCCAAAATGGTCTCAAGAAGTTGGGATTTTCATGATATAGTTATCCCACCACTGGGTAAGCATCCAACTAATACTTGTTCTCTGGACTTCTAATATTTAAGAATTCCTTTGTTAATTACTATGCACTGCACAAAGGAAATTCTCTCATAAGGACTGAGAGCTTAATCAAGTCTATGAGTACAGAGATAAATTCAGAAGGAAATCTCAGATAGCAGTTTCTTTAACAAAGAGTAAGAGCTGTACTTATCTGATCTATATTGATCTTTTAGAATGTAGTTAGGAATTATTCTGGTCTATCAAAGTGTTGGCTTTAAGTGAGTGCAGGGAGCTTAGGGACAAGAGTGAACATTCACCAGGCTAGGCCAGATAACAGCATGTAGAAGCCTGTTCTGGCCTACAGATAATATAATGGCATGGGATGATAGTATAAGGTCTGATGAACCAAAATGATTACTCATATACACTGGATGAATCCTGTGTGAATACTGGCCCAAACTTGGAGGTTGCGAAGGCACGGGCATCATTCCTAAGACTAAACTGGACTACTGAGTGTGGTAACATATGGTCCTCTTTGAGGATTGTGGTGAGTGCAGTTGACTTAGGGATAAGAGAGAAGACATAACAAAGATACAGCAGGGTGTCCTGGCCTTGTAGAACTTATTGAATAACTATGGAATGGGCCAACAGGATAAGTTCTGGTAAATTGAATTACTTTCTAGAGGTATTCTAATATCCCCATTACTTAATAACATGGAAATATTTTTAATTGTGAATTTACTCTATGATTCTAATAACTATATCAACATTAATATTGATTTTCTGTGATTCTAAAGTAAGTTGTGAATTATACCAATTGCCAACCTCTTAAAGCTATTAATACACTTATTACTAAATAAATAAAAGATACCAACAAATTTTCTTTTCAAACTTTGTCATATAAACCATGTTTATTTTTTAAGAGACACCCAGTATACTAAAGCATACCTTCAAAATGTATAGAATTAAGAATATTTAAAAGAATGTAAAATCATGAATCATGTATAATTCTTGGGGATCGGCATATGTCACTATTAACAATAACCACACACCTCAAGAGCATAAGAGAAAGGTCAACTGTATGTATATCAACATGCAAGCAATATGATAATTTACAAAGTGCAATAAAGCGAGAGTCTTCATCAGATGATTGAAAGTCTTCAAGACCAGACCAGAGATTGTAATCCACATTTTCTGTTGTTCCGTAAACCTAGTGACCAAAATGATAATCAGTCAATTAGTATTTACACAGCTTGTGTTTGCTTTTCCTCTCCTTCCTAGATGTTAAATTATATTTAAAGAAATAATAAGAATATTAAACTTCTTGCATACACGTATCTATTTCAGAATACCTGCCTGTAAGAGTAGCAAGAAATGTAATGGGAGTAATCCATTCTATGATTGGATCTAAGCACCATACCATGAGATGGAACCCATACCTGCTACTGTTAATGAAGCTTAGAATCTATGACTAGATAAGTCACAGACATAGAGGAAACATACTAATAGTATTCTGCTAAATGAACAAAACAATAAAAATAATGTAGTACTCATAGATGAGTCTAACACAATCCTCATTAGAGAAGTTTCTTTTGACAGTACATAGTTACTAATAAGAGATACACAACTATGCAATGTGCAGAGATTAAGAGACTCTGATCCACTCAGCCTTAAATAAGATGTCTTTATCAAACCCTTCCCTCAAGGATCCATTATCTACATGGAAGAGGAGGCGGAAAATTTTAAGTGGCTGAGATGAGATGTAGCTGACATCATGGAAACAGCATCTTCCAGAAACATATGAATGTATGATACATATATACATTCATACATTCATACATACATACATACATACATACATACATACATATTCACAGAGACTTTGACAGCATGCACAAGACTTGCACAAGCTCAAACCAAACTAGATCCAGGGCTAAAACAGGGTAGTAAATACATAGTTTTATCTTTAACCAAAAAGTTATTTGCAACTGATAATTGATGCAAAAGGAAAAAAATCAGTTTTGTCCAATGGAGTAAAAGCAAGACATGTGCACATATTTTCTTACATTTAATTGATTTCAGATGAAATCTATTACTCTGAGGAATGACAACAGGATTTGATGGTTGAGCATAGACTTAGGTTTAACATTGATAATGAATGCTTATTGGCAAGATGTAATTGTGTTAAGAGAGTCTAATGAAGTAGTCAGGAATATTTCATTCTGCCTAGAATTGTAGGTACGGTTCAAGTAAAAAAATTAAACTTTAGTGTTTATCTTTTACTTCTAAGGATATTTATAAGATTGGGTGCCAAATATTGTTTTTGAAAATTGAGGTTTTCAAAATGTAATATCTATTGCAGAAGAGAAGTCATTCATGAATGAGGAAAAAAAGGTAAGAACACTACTCACCTTGCTCATTATACTCTTGGTGTCCTCAAAAAGCTTGGCAATTTTTGTCCTAATGTCTTTGGCTAATGATAGGATATTATCCTGTATTCCAGGCATACTTCTGAGTATGGTCAGGAGGTTGTGAACAGTGCTATTCCAAGCCTGTACTCTACTGAGTATCAGTTTGGGGAAGTCTTCAAGCTAAGCAGCCAAGTTCCAACAATTACATTAATAAGTGAAATAAAGAAAGATCAGTTAGTTTGGGTTTTTTGTGAGATAGGTAAGTGAAATATCCATTTGTTATTTTTGTGGGAAGGAAGAATGGTTTAGGGAGATAAAAATAATACAGATTAATAAAGCAAAAATGATTAACCTGTAATTTGCCATCATAATATTGTATATATATCTATTATTTCTAATTACCCATTTTATCAATCATGATACATTTTCCATATGAAATTCTACCATCAGATCTTCCTGTAAACTCTTTCATGCTTTGTTTCATTTATTTGTTTGTTTGTTTGTCTAGAGAAACATAAGAGTTTGCTGTGGCTTAGTAGGTATTCTAATTCAGGAAAAATAGATTCCCACAGAGTAAATGGTGAGACATTTAACTTAGATTCATCTCAAAATAAAGTAGATTGTTCAAAATCATACTTATTTTTAGGTTGTTTTAAGGTATTAGTAAAAATATTCTGAGTAGACAAATTGACCTTAGTAAGTATGGTTTCCTCAGTCTAGAACAAACCCTCTCCTTGCCTTCAGCAAAACAGCACATTTTTGAAACATATAAGCAAAGAACAATGGGATGTCATTGTCCTTAATAAAAACATAAGTAAGAATAACAATGGAATTTTGACTATCATGTGGGTTCCAAATCTTAGATGAAACTCATTCCTACTTAAACATGTTCCATGTACTAATAGCTTTAGCTATTATAGAGACAATGAAAAGAGTAGAGTGAAATCTAGTGGACATTGTGATGGAAAAAAGAAAAACACATGAAGGAAAGGACCAGATCCTTTCTGGCAAGGTGCTGGGAAGATTGATGCATATGAATAAGAGGGAGGACTTGCATTGGTTGGAACCCAACATCCATTCTGGTAGAGAAAGCTGATGACCCAAGTTCCATAAAATTTTCAGTGCCTCATTCCACTTACATCAGCTAGCTTTTTTGAGTATTAATTGTAATGATGTCAACAAAGCTCTTTGTGAAATCCTAGTCTTAGAATGCATACTTAGATACATTTTCTTCCCTCACTTTGCCTTATTATTTTCACACAATGCCTAAATCAGTTCGTTTGAGGATAAGTTATGGGAAAGAATCATAAGAACATAACAGTTGTTAATTACAGCTGCAGTGATATGTAGACCTTCTTATTACATCTGAGGGACTGGCTCACTCTGAGAACTTTAAACAATGTTTATAGCATTTCCTTGTTCAGGTGCTTACAGTTGAGACAAAGAAGAGATCACAAAAGTTGTGAGGAAATGGATAGAAAAGTAAGAAGCAGAAGTAGGATCAAAAGAGTCATGAAAATCAAGAGACTGAATAATGTGAGATTTGCTAGTGTGGAGCCATTCACTGGTAACATATAAGCAACACAATTGTTGTTGCAGTTGTTATTATGTGAAGTCTAATGGTGAGATATCATTAACCAAAACCCTCTTAACGGACAATTTATTCACCTGTTAAAATATTACTAAGCATTTGTGTATTTATTATAAAATAGCTATCATAACTCTTCCTTGTTTGTTATCAGCCCATTTTCATCTGAGTCTGATTTCCACATCCCTTGCAATGCTTACAAAAACTTGCAGCATGACAAAGTAAAGCCAATGTACTGTTTCAGCTATTTAGGTAAAAGAATCAAACTATAGACTTACAGAGATCATTTGGGCTTCATCCATATTTTCTGGTGTCTTGATGGAATAATTGTGGCAGCAGATGAGATTTTTAGCTAGTAACTCTTGATTTCCGAGAAACTCAAGCATCTGTATAATAAAAATTAATATTGAGTTAATTTATGTCTGGAAAATAAGCCAAGAAATCCACAATAAGAATATTAATGTACTCAATAGATGTGTGCTTTTTAAAAAAGAAATGGAGAGGCTTGGATATGGGTCAATGGGGCCATGGGAGGATGGGAGAGAGGGAGAACTGAGATTGATATATAAAATAAGAAAGTTTCTAATTTAAATTATAAAAAGGAAAAAAAAACCAAATCACCATAAAATCCAAGATTAACAACTTAACAGTGTCAACATTTTGATACCTTTCTTCTTAATTGTGTCTGTAATCTCATTTTTTTCATATCTAAATATCAGCACCCCAATCCTTTCTCATATTTAATCTTATCTTAATTTTTTTATTCACCATAAATCTTTTTATCTCAAAGGAACCTTATAAAAAACAGAACTGACAAATTCAAAGTGTGTTAGAGATCATTTTTCTCTAGAATGTGGGCATAGTGTCATGCTGTATTGTTTTTATATTTATTAATTTCCTAGTTTCTGAATATCCAAATTGATAAATATCTTTTAGCTGGCCATTTTATTTATTTATTTATTTATTTTTATTTATTATTTTACATGTCGATCCCCATTCCCTCTCCCTCTCTCTTTCCCTTACTCCTTCCCTCCTTCCCTCCCTCCCTCACTTTTACCCACTCTGCCCTTTTAAAACTGTATGTTTTCTTTCTACTATAAGTGAATATATATGCCAGTATGATTTAATATTAATCATAAACTCTAACTGAAGTTGTGTCATGTTTGACAAAAGTAGATATAACAAACTATTTTTAGGAAATAGTAAACAATGAAATAGAACAAAATATTAATTAATTAATAACATATTTATCAATATACAATCTTAAAGGTTATATTTTAAATAAAATAATAGCTTAATTTAAAATGTATATTTACTACTAACTTATTACTTAAAACTAATAATCAGCTATTGTGTAATGTTTTAATGGATTAATAAGAATGTCAAGAATTTGAAAAATGATCAGTAAAGAATGAAGAATAAGAAACAACACTTTTCACTTAAATGTGTATGTCTATTCAAGTAATACTTAAATTTTGAACTTGTAAATCAAGAAATGGCAAAAATATAATGATAACACACCTATGACAAATGCAGAAATACATTCTCTTGATAGCTATTGTTTTACTGAAGCATTATATTTTTCATGCTTTATGTTGACTGACCTTGAACAGACAACATGTAGTCATCTAGAGAAGAGATCCTAATATGCCCTGTAAATTATCCCCTTCTGAATTAACTCTTACACTAGAGATCATCTCTTCATAGGATTCCTAACACTGGGGGGTTTCTGAAAACCAATTGGTGTTTTTCTTCCCTCTTGACATAGTTTCCATTTGTTTGGTTCTGTTTCCTACACCCGACTGACTACAATACACATCCATCTTCTTGGGTATCTTCAGTGAACTCGGTGAAAATATTTTTTGTTCCTTAATAGCTAGATCCATGTATGAGTTCTTTTCTATCCAATATAAATTACACTTTCATGTTGCAATAATAATTTTTAATAGAAAGGCAGTAAACATAGAAAATCGTGCAAATAATTTCTCTTTGTTTCTTCCTCCCTTCCTTCCTTATTTCCTCTCTTTCCTTCCTTCCTCCCTTATTTTCTTTCTTTCTTTCTTCCTTTCAAATCAGATTCCCTGCAGCTTGCTCATTCTCATTTTGCCTTTTACTTGTGGAGGCTTTCTAGTGTAATAGTACAAGAATGTCATAGAATGATACATCTGGGATGTGTGCTACTTGACATTTGATCCTCAACACTTTCTCTTGTAAGTCCAAGAAATGTCATTAGCATGAAGGCTTTTGTGAGGGAAAAGAAGGAAGTGAGGCACTTACGAATTGATCTGATGACTCCGATGTTGAAGTTATCTGAGCCCAGATGAAGGGAATGGCAACAAAAATAGTGAGTAAATAGTTAACATGAGTACATGTTTATTAGAAAAAGCAACATTCTTTGAGTACCTAATTCTGTACTAAAGCCATGAGCAGTATCTCCTCAATGACCCTGACTGACCTTGAATAGACACTATACAGTCCTCAGGAAGACAGAGCCTATTTTATGTAATCTAGCCTTCCCAGTGAATACAATTGTGCTCCAGAAAACTTTAAGATACTCAGTATTTAGAGTTTATGAGAATATAATATGTTGTATGATTCTTTTCTGCTTGAATTTTCACAATTTGGAATCATTCCATTCATGCCTTGTGACTCAGTGCAATGTGCTTCTCTATTAGATGTCTCCAGTGTGCTAAGTAAAGATGTCAATGGAGGCTGGCTTCAGAGAAGCAAGGTCATGGAATCAGATTTTTTTGCCTTGAACACAATTATGAAAGTATTATGTTCTAAGTACAAAGATATTTTAAAAGAAGCAACAACAATTTTTAAAAGAAGAGTAACCTATAAAATCATTGTACTCTTTCCAAACCAAAGATTTGCTGGAACTTGCCCCATTTTATGCTACTTTTTGTGTGCTGGCACTTTGTTTTACCATTGGAGGTACATGACTTGAAACATGGATATATATTACTTAAAACTTCCCCATGCAAAGCACAAACAACATCATTAACATGAACACTTGGAAGAAAGAAGGTAGAAGTAAGTGATGTACTTACAAATTTTTCAAAATATTTTGCAGATGACTCACTGATGATCTGAGATAGGATGAGGGAAAAAAGCTAGTACGTTACAAGACACCATAAATGCACATGTATTGCAAAAAGAGACACATTCAATGGGTGCAAATTTCAATATATAAGCCTTGTATATTGACTTGATACTGACTAACCAACATATAGTTCTCAGGAACAAAGAACACACACCTTTGCTAAACTTGCATTCTAAGTGGATAAATTCATGTTTTGAACTTCTTTAAACGAGGACTCCCAGGACTTGAAAGTTTGGGGAGCTAATGTTGGACTTATTAGTTTGTGGTTGTTTGGCATTTCTTCTTGACATATCACCCCTATTTAGATTAGTTTCGTCCATTCCATGTGACTCACTTTAATGTATGTCTACTCTATTGTATATCTACTGTGTACTAGGTAAAAATGCTAACAGAAACTGGCCTCTAGCAAAAAAGGTAAGGAAGTCAGAGTTTTTTTTTCACAGCTGAGTCCATTGGATTTTTATGCCACAAATCAAAATTTAAGAAAAATTAAAACTAAGTAAGGGAAGAGTACAAAACTCATTGAATTCTTCAAAAGTCTTTTAAGATTTCAGGAAATGCACCCCATGTTCCTTACTTCAGTTTTCAATAATTCAGTTTTATTTTAATATTAGAAAGGTATATTATTTGTAGTACACCATTTTGTAAGGTATAAAGGTAATTTGTCTCATAACTATAAATGTGGAACAGGACAGTTTTTGACAAAGAAGTTGCTTTATGAAAAACTAAATAAAGCAGATATAAGTGAAACACTTACATATATCCTGCGCATTTCAGTGTTGAGCTTACTGATATTCTGAGACAGTACCATGGCGTGATCAAACAGTTCCTTGAGGTAGAGTTGATCATCATCAATCTCTTTGCTAATCAAAGGCACAAAGGCCACAATCTCCCATGAAAGGAAGTTTGACACAAGCAGCAGAAATACCCCTGCTAACAGAAGCAAAAGGCATTCAGATACACTCACCCAAAACCATCAAAACAAATTTCATCACTTTTTACCACTGCCTTCCACTGTGTGATTTTATACTGTATATCAGAGGTAATTAAAAAGCACCTTTAACTGTGAAAATGTAATTTTAAATTTGCACAGGTATATAATGTCAGAACTTAGTGACTTCCCACAGTCTGAGTTAGATATCAGAAATAATTTTAAAAAATTTATCATTAGAAAATTAAAATAATTGTCTGTTAGTTCAGTGTTGTAAGAATTTATGAAGAATCTATGCTGGTTTTCAATAATCATTTCCTACAAGACATTATTTTTTCTTTCATTTTTGAAACTAATATAGTTGCATCATTTAGCCCTTACCTTTCCTCCTCCCAATACCCCCATATACTTTTCCTTGCTCTTCTTTAAAGTTCATGGCCTCTTTTTCTCATCAATTTTTATGTACATATGTGTATATATTTCACACACACACACACACATATATATACATATATATATATCTATATATATATCTTAAATATATATGCAACCCATGTAATGTTACTTGTACAAGATTTTCAAGGAGGAACATTTAGTATTAGATAACCATGGATCTGCTTTTCTCTTTGGAAGACTATTTCTCTCACTGTAGTTGCCTGTAGTTTTTTGTATAGGGTTGAGGCCTCCTGGGCTTCATTTCATACATGTTAGTATGTCTATTGTTTCTGTCTTTATTAAGTTCATGATTAGGCAATCATGTTGGTGCAGCTTCTGATATTTCTAGGAGATACAGTCTCAGAGCAACCTCCCTGTTCCTCTGCACAAAACCAACACCTAAGTCTCAGAAGTCATTGGGAAAGATGGGAAAGAGAAACATGAGTGTTCCAAACTCAGTGTGCAATGCCTACATTTTAAAGGACAGCATGGTAGCTTTCACTAATATTTATTTTATTACTTGTCTTGCTCTACAAAGCAACCTGTTTTAAATTAGTTTTCTTGATAATACAGAGTGTCAGTGTGTCATAATCCAATTACATTGTTATAGGTAGATAAAACTAGAACTCTAAAATACCAATAATTAATGCTTTCAAGATGATGGAGTATCATGTTATTATAAAATTGAAAAATTTGTTTTTTTAATGAACAAGCTTAAAAAATTGTATCTTGTATAGAACCTTAGATAAATAAAATTAAAAATGTTCAAAATAAAATCAGGGTACTGTTAAGATTCATTAACAGGAAAAAACACTAACCACAAATCTTCAAAAATAACTAAAATACATCATAAAAGATTACATAGTATTCAATGAAACCACAACATGTTAAAAGCAAAAATAAATCAGATAAAT